AATACAAGTATTCAAACTACAAAGCAATAAAATATCTAAAAATTTTTTCTAGTAACAGTTTTATCAGTTACTAACATTATATTAACAGTATAAAATACAGGAACAAAGTCTCCCTTGTACACTTGTTTTCATCACTGCATTAAGAACCGCAATGATAACTGTGCTAAGAATAACCAATAAGAAATGAATTTGTTTTCTGTAAAAAAGAGAAAGGTCAGAGGCTTGTTCTCTCTAGAAAAGAGAAGGGTCAGAGGCTTGTTCTCTCCAGAAAAGAGAAGGGTCAGAGGCTTGTTCTCTCTAGAAAAGAGAAGTATCAGGGGTGATCTAACTGAAGTATTCAACGTAACTGAGAAGAATGATGTATCAAATTTTTGGCAGTTTTATTTCTCAAAAAACTTTCAACATGGCTCTAAGATGATTAACAAAAAGGCAGTTAAATAGGTATTTGAGTATTCAATACCAAGCATTAAATTGTAACGTACACTTTTAGTTATTAGCTATCATGCCACTTGTTACGATAAAAACAGATATTAGATTTATTTATGTTTATTCAGGTAGAATACTACAAAAATCTTGTAAAAGAAATTAACTAGTAAGCATGTGATTTACATCTATAATGTAAATGAAAATTAGAAATACTGTGGCCTCTTTACCTAAGGCTGATTTTCTGAAAAGGTTTCAATGATAGGCTCCAAGTATGAACCGAGGGATAGAAGGGTTATCTTACTAGGATAAGTTAATACCTCTCAGTTTATTTTCTCTTTAGCAAATTAGGGTAAGATGTTAATTTAATGAAGTATACAAAATAACCTGAGGGGATCAATACCATAAAGGCCTGTAACTTCTTTGTACTGTATTCTGAAGGTAAGAAGATAATGGACACAGGTTTAAGATCTGTAAAAGATGGGTAGACTCCAGTTACAATACCTTTATTTTTCTAACAGAGTTCTTGGTTTATGGAATGAGTTGCCATGAATAACAGTGGAGACCAGCACTTTACAGGAGGTTAAGAAGGGAATCAATGTTTTTCTGAATAGTAATGGGTGGGTTTAAATTTTTATTTGTTGTGAAGGACAGCCTTCAAAGACCGAATGGTCTCTTGCATCTGTAGGTTATGTAATAAGAAAACATATATATTCATAGATTACAACTGGTAACATATAATAAAAATAAGTGTAAAACAACAGCTGCTAAAATATAGTTGACAAACAGAGGAATCTGCCATTTGTTGTTGGTGCTATACAAACTGAAGCAACAATTCTAGTATTCTCATTTTAACCCTATGGATACGGGTAGGTCAAAGTGTGCATGTCACAACCTTTTTACAATTACTTTCAAAATTTGATTAAACTAATTTATTATCAATGCATGTCAATAAGCTAAGCATCAAAATACAGTTTATAATTTAAATTTTAATGCAAGTTTAATAGTTGATTTCAAAAGGAAATATTTAAATAAATTCTCGATCAGTACCTCTCAGAGTCACATGACATAGTGAAACTGTGACTTCTCATTTGTAAATTTTTTCTCTTCCTTTAAAAGGGCTTCAGATAGTTCAACCTATTAGAAACACTTACTACAGATATCGACAAGCCAGAATATAAATTTCAAACACTTATTTTTTTGCCTTACTAAGATATCACTATATTTGTTCAATGAGCACTGACAGGACCCTGCCATATCCTCTGGCTTGTAGGAAATATCTATAATTCTCTCTACCATTGTTACTTGAAAATGTTTACAAACAATACAAATAGCAAATTCTATACTACATAAGTCACGTATAGCTCATAGTATAGTATCATGTAAGTTTCATTTTAGCAAGAAAAGCCAATAATTTACATGTGTGTCTGGGCAAAATATATTGATCCAAAATGTATTGAAACTTTTAACATATTTATATGTTTGTTATAAAAGCCTAATAGATTAAACTTTTTGGATGCTCTAATCTAATGTTTAATGTATATTTCATATTATAAAATGCATATTTGAAACAATGTGAATTATTTTGGACAATGAACCTGAGGAGGAAAAATTAGGTTTACTAAACCATGAACCTGAGTGCAAAACAACTTGGGGCTAAAGTAAGTGAAATTTATTGTTATATATTTCTACCAAAAGTAACTAAAATTTGCTAATTATAATCTTCTTAGGTTAGATAAGAACATTTATTGAAAAAAAAAAACCCAAAAAAATCTCTCCCTGATGTAACTCGATACTTTGTTTACCATAACTTGCATAAACTCTCGCCAGGTAATTTATTGCTTTGTTACACTAGTCAGACATGGTTCAAAGAGTAATAAAACAACAAAATTAAATAAAAACAATTTTCAACTGTAATGAGTCTGAGATTTTTTAAGATAAATAATTATAACTGTATGTTACAATTTGCAGTCATTGTAGAAAAAAAAATTTTGATTTTAATTCAGTTTTCAACTTCACTATAGAGAATTTTGATAGGGTAGATAAAATAAGAGATAGAATACAAAGAAAAACAAAACTTCCAATATTCATTTAGAAAGTTCTAGAGGTTATGTAAATGAAATATGAAAACTAAGATGAAAAGCAGTATTTTTTTATTATTAGCATGAAAATCGCTTTCATTCACAATGACTCAGTAAATGCTTTGTAAATTAACAGACAAATCTTTAGTGAAAATATTTTATTATTTTGTGTACAACATACTTGTAATGCACTTGATTTTTATGAACAAATTATTCATGTTTCAGATTCATCATTTACTATAAATTTTTCATTTTTAAAAAGCAAATTATTTTTTACCACCATTGTGGAAAAAAAATGGACAAAATCAAGTTCATATGTTGTACAGCTGTACCATAATTAAACAACCATCAACACCAAACTTGTAGCAAAACAATTATGAAGTTTTTGAATGTACAAATATGCCCTAAAATATGCTTAAAATGGTATCAAACTAACATTCTGAGGTATAAATAATCAAACTCAACACTGTACAGTTCTGACAATCACAATTTCATTTGCATCATACCTGGGATTGTACCACTATCTTTAACCATGTGTTTGCAAAATCCTGTAATTAAACTATTTTAGCACTAATTTTTAAAGATTGTGAAATTAATGAAAAAGTTATAATCATAGTCATTTTTTGTAGACATATATAATTGTAAAATGTGATTAATCACAGTTTACTGTGTAAACAGATATAAAAACAGGCAGTGTTTACATGGTACTTCACTTTTGGATACAGCACTTTAGCTTCACTTTCCTCATTACTACATTACTAGTCCAACACTGCTAAGATCCTGTAGAGATGTACTGGAATACCAACACATGAGACTAAAACTCTACAACAACAGTGTTTCTACAAACACTGACACCAGTGACAGGTTTGTTGTTGTTCATCAACCTGCTATAGGCAAGTTTAAATTTTAAGTTCTTTTGGTTGTTGGAATGTATTTTTGATTTTAATTCAACTTTTTCAACCTCACTACAGAGAATTTTGCTACAGTTAATGACAGGGTAGAGAAACTAAGAGATAGAATACAAAGAAAAACAAAACTTCTGATATTCACACTGTAATTCAAATTCATGCTGTAGGCAAGTTTAAATTTTAAGTTTTTTTGGTTGTTGGAATTAATAATAATTTACAAAAACATATATAAATAAAAAACAATACTGATAAACTTTCTCTATATACTGCAAACACACTGACAAATCCCATACTACAAATTAGAGGTGCGACTCTTGAATGCTAGAATGTTGTTTCACTAGGCAATAACATCTTTTACTCGATGGCCAAATTCTAAATTTTGTTTCATGACCTTCTCGGCAAAACTCCAGAATTTACAGATTTATAAATGTATGCATATGACATACTGATATTTAAACTTTCACTTATAATTCTAACAAATTAAAATCAACTAGAATCTGTTTATAAAGGATAATGATAAAACCTTCAGAGCATATATCACACTATAGTAGAACAGAAAATGGTATTTATATTAGAATACCAAATATTACATCATTATTCATAGAATAATAAATGATGTAACCTACCACCATCACATATAATGAATTAAATATTTATCACTACATAAAACAATACAACTGTCAAAAAATCAGTAACTGCTATAACTAAGCAGTGTGACTTCCATATATGTATACAGGTTTTGAGATGAAAAGGATGGTGCCTACAATTTCCTGACTTTTCCAAGTTTAGAGGGAATTTATTAATCTTGCTGACTTTCAACCTTTCTTTAAAATTTCCTGACTTTTCCAGGTTTGTAGCCATCCTGATTTATTACATTTCATAACATGCCTAAGTTTGGTACAAAAATCACACCCTGTTCCCAGTGTGTCTTACATATGGACTAAGCATATAATATGGACCAGAGTCCAATATAAATGTATGGGATGCATGATTTTTGCATTCATACATAACTGAAATGTTTTTTGGCATGTACTTATCACCATTCATATATTATAGTGATATTTTAAGAGCTTCTATCAGTAATTTATTTTATGTATTGAATATTGCTGCTAATAGTACTTTTGTACAATTAAACTTACACAAAATACAGCTTATACAAACAACTGCATTAATTAACGAACCTCATTCTTATGAATAATCAATCTAGAAGAGTGCTTTGAATTGAACGAAAATTATTTAGCAGGTTAGCTCAACTCTATAAAATTAAAAGACAGACACATTAATTAAGAAGAGTTAGAGTCAGAAGATTACCAAGTGAGAAATCTAACAGTTCACTTATATTTTTAAAAACAAAAGAAATAATAATGAAATAGCCTTACATCTAAATAAATTCTTAGTAAATTAGGCTTAAGTAACTAAGTTACAGTATACGCCTAGTACTACTAGTATTACTATTAGTGCTACTTATCACCACCTGCCAAATTAAACACAATACGAAAGACTACACCAACAGGTTTGTTAATTATTATTCCTATTTACCAAATTATATTAAAAGTTTAATTTTATCATAATATCGATGAAATTTTACCTCAAGAGCTTTGATTTCGTGTTGGGTTAACTCGGCGTTTGGTGGACACAGTGTTCGAAGCCCATCGAGATGAACAGCATTTATATCAATCATTGCCTGTGCATTACAACAAGATTCTATTGCCTTTCTAACATTAATGTCGCTATCATCTTCCGCCATTCTGCTAAAATTGAAGACTTAATGTTGAAAGAGAACCATGCATTGTGACTAAAGATGTCAAATAGGGTTACTTTAGAGCCATAGGCGATGAATGAGTCTTGATCCATTCTCAACTTCACTACTAAAAGTCCGACATGATGGACTATTCTGGTATATAACGAGAAATCTCAGGATAAACGTGATTTAGCGAGTTTTAATATCTGAATCACACAATAGAGCCTAGAAATAAACTTAGTAATCTTTAAAAGGGTTCCCACAAGTTGTTGAAAGCCCAACCTTCTTTCAGTTTCAAATAAAGTGTCAAAAAACAATATTTCCATGGGGAAAAATCTAAAACTTTTTACATACTGCTCATCCTACAAAGTGTTGCACACCAAAATATAATGTAAAAATTAAAAACCCTTATAAATTATGCTTTCTAAACTTCAGACAATATTTGGAAAACAAACATTATACTGATATTATTTATGTTCTGCTACTTCAAACAAGTACGTTTATAAATCTTAGGATCCCAGT